TTCTGACAAGATGGAGAACATGTTGTGACCGTCGTATTGTGTGATCAGAGACAGTCTCTCTGCAACGCTGTGTGATCAGAGACAGTCTCTCTGCAACGCTGTGTGATCAGAGACAGTCTCTCTGCAACCTTGTGTGATCAGATACAGTCTCTCTGCAATGCTGTGTGATCAGAGACAGTCTCTCTGCAACGCTGTGTGATCAGAGACAGTCTCTCTGCCACCCTGTGTGATCAGAGACAGTCTCTCTGCAATGCTGTGTGATCAGAGACAGTCTCTCTGCAACGCTGTGTGATCAGAGACAGTCTCTCTGCAACGCTGTGTGATCAGAGACAGTCTCTCTGCAACGCTGTGTGATCAGAGACAGTCTCTCTGCAACGCTGTGTGATCAGAGACAGTCTCTCTGCAACGCTGTGTGATCAGAGACAGTCTCTCTGCAACGCTGTGTGATCAGAGACAGTCTCTCTGCAACGCTGTGTGATCAGAGACAGTCTCTCTGCAACGCTGTGTGATCAGAGACAGTCTCTCTGCAACGCTGTGTGATCAGAGACAGTCTCTCTGCAACGCTGTGTGATCAGAGACAGTCTCTCTGCAACGCTGTGTGATCAGAGACAGTCTCTCTGCAACGCTGTGTGATCAGAGACAGTCTCTCTGCAACGCTGTGTGATCAGAGACAGTCTCTCTGCAACGCTGTGTGATCAGAGACAGTCTCTCTGCAACGCTGTGTGATCAGAGACAGTCTCTCTGCAACGCTGTGTGATCAGAGACAGTCTCTCTGCAACGCTGTGTGATCAGAGACAGTCTCTCTGCAACGCTGTGTGATCAGAGACAGTCTCTCTGCAACGCTGTGTGATCAGAGACAGTCTCTCTGCAACGCTGTGTGATCAGAGACAGTCTCTCTGCAACGCTGTGTGATCAGAGACAGTCTCTCTGCAACGCTGTGTGATCAGAGACAGTCTCTCTGCAACGCTGTGTGATCAGAGACAGTCTCTCTGCAACGCTGTGTGATCAGAGACAGTCTCTCTGCAACGCTGTGTGATCAGAGACAGTCTCTCTGCAACGCTGTGTGATCAGAGACAGTCTCTCTGCAACGCTGTGTGATCAGAGACAGTCTCTCTGCAACGCTGTGTGATCAGAGACAGTCTCTCTGCAATGCTGTGTGATCAGAGACAGTCTCTCTGCAACGCTGTGTGATCAGAGACAGTCTCTCTGCAACGCTGTGTGATCAGAGACAGTCTCTCTGCAACGCTGTGTGATCAGAGACAGTCTCTCTGCAACGCTGTGTGATCAGAGACAGTCTCTCTGCAATGCTGTGTGATCAGAGACAGTCTCTCTGCAACCCTGTGTGATCAGAGACAGTCTCTCTGCAATTTTTGTTCTTGAAGCCATAACCTTCATGTTGGGCACCCATGATTTGATTTTTCGTAGACATGATTAATTGTAAGAATACCCTGGTGAGTCTCAAGAATTAATATTTTGTAGACATGATTAATTGTAAGAATACCCTGGTGAGTCTCAAGAATTAATATTTCGTAGACATGATTAATTGTAAGAATATCCTGGTGAGTCTCAAGAATTAATATTTCGTAGACATGATTAATTGTAAGAAAATCCTGGTGAGTCTCAAGAATTAATATTTCGTAGACATGATTAATTGTAAGAATACCCTGGTGAGTCTCAAGAATTAATATTTCGTAGACATGATTAATTGTAAGAATATCCTGGTGAGTCTCAAGAATTAATATTTTGTAGACATGATTAATTGTAAGAATATCCTGGTGAGTCTCAAGAATTAATATTTCGTAGACATGATTAATTGTAAGAATACCCTGGTGAGTCTCAAAAATAATATTTTGTCGACATGATTAGTTGTAAGAATATCCTGATGGGTCTCAAAAATAATATTTTGTAGACATGATTAGTTGTAAGAATATCCTGATGGGTCTCAAAAATAATATTTTGTAGACATCATTAATTGTAAGAATATCCTGATGGGTCTCAAAAATAATAATTTGTAGACATGATTAATTGTAAGAATATCCTGATGGGTCTCAAAATTAATATTTTGTAGAAATGATTAATTGTAAGAATATCCTGATGGGTCTCAAAAATAATATGTTGTAGACATGATTAATTGTAAGAATATCCTGATGGGTCTCAAAAATAATATTTTGTAGACATGATTAATTGTAAGAATATCCTGATGGGTCTCAAAAATAATATTTTGTAGACATGATTAGTTGTAAGAATATCCTGATGGGTCTCAAAAATAATATTTTGTAGACATGATTAATTGTAAGAATATCCTGATGGGTCTCAAAAATAATATTTTGTAGACATGATTAATTGTAAGAATATCCTGATTGGTCTCAAAAATAATATTTTGTAGACATGATTAATTGTAAGAATATCCTGATGGGTCTCAAAAATAATATTTTGTAGACATGATTAATTGTAAGAATATTCTGATGGGTCTCAAAAATAATATTTTGTAGACATGATTAATTGTAAGAATATCCTGATGGGTCTCAAAAATAATATTTTGTAGACATGATTAGTTGTAAGAATATCCTGATGGATCTCAAAAATAATATTTTGTAGACATGATTAATTGTAAGAATATCCTGATGGGTCTCAAAAATAATATTTTGTAGACATGATTAGTCGTAAGAATATCCTGATGGGTCTCAAAAAAATATTTTGTAGACATGATTAGTCGTAAGAATATCCTGATGGGTCTCAAAAATAATATTTTGTAGACATGATTAATTGTAAGAATATCCTGATGGGTCTCAAAAATAATATTTTGTAGACATGATTAGTTGTAAGAATATCCTGATGGGTCTCAAAAATAATATTTTGTAGACATGATTAGTTGTAAGAATATCCTGATGGGTCTCAAAAATAATATTTTGTAGACATGATTAATTGTAAGAATACCCTGGTGAGTCTCAAAAATAATATTTTGTAGACATGATTAGTCTTAAGAATATCCTGATTGGTCTCAAAAATAATATTTTGTAGACATGATTAGTTGTAAGAATACCCTGGTGAGTCTCATGAATTAATATTTTGTAGACATGATTAATTGTAAGAATACCCAGGTGAGTCTCAAAAATAATATTGTGTAGACATGATTAATTGTAAGAATACCCAGGTGAGTCTCAAAAATAATATTGTGTAGACATGATTAATTGTAAGAATACCCTGGTGAGTCTCAAAAATAATATTTTGTAGACATGATTAGTTGTAAGAATATCCTGGTGAGTCTCAAAAATAATATTTTGTAGACATGATTAGTTGTAAGAATATCCTGTTTAGTCTCAAAAATAATATTTTGTAGACATGATTAGTTGTAAGAATATCCTGGTTAGTCTCAAAAATAATATTTTGTAGACATGATTAGTTGTAAGAATATCCTGGTGAATTTCAAAAAATAACTTTTTAATACACATTAATAAAAGCGTGTTTTTTAAAAAAAACTATTTCATGTAAAATAAATTTTTTAATGAACTGAAAATGTGTAGAAGAAGAGTTGTCTAAATAGTTCAATCTCGCATTGATATTCTCACAAAGTGTTTAGTCCACCTTACATTTGCTGTTTTTTTTTTAAATCCCAGAGAATATCAAAATATTTGACTTCCAACAAAAACTAACAAACTAAACAAAACAAGAGAGAGAGAGAGAGATAGAGAGAGAGAGAGAGAGAGATAGAGAGGGAGAGAGAGAGAGAGGGGGGGGAGGGAGAGAGAGAGAGAGAGAGAGAGAGGAAAAGTAAATTTTAAAAAACATAACTCCATGTTTGACAAATTTATTTTTGAAGTGAGAAAAACTTAAGATTTAATTCTTTATTATTGTATGTAACATTCCATCATAATAAATAGACATTGTTGTCCTCAAATGCTACAGCGTTATCTATATAACGGTTTCATGACTGAGTGCTGACTGGTGCGAGTCACAGCCTGTAGAGCTGGTCACGATGCTCGTGTCACTTGTGGTGCCCTGGTGCACTTTGCGCGAATGCTTCCCTTCAGTGGTTTCCTTGCTGCAAGAATTTGACCTTGACCGAGTCTCCACGACTCTCCAGCGGCTCCACAGCTCAGCGTAGAAGCTGATCACCCGTTTGTTGATCACGATGCAGTAAAAGAACAGAAGTCCATGGAGTCCTATCAGAGCTGTGATGACGTAGTTGAAATAATCGCTCCGAACAAAGTCGTACAAAAACGTCAGCAGCCACATCAGACCCGTCACCATAGACAGACGCACGACCGCCATCAGTCCGAGCCTGCTGTGAGCATTTGAGCAACTCCGAGCTGTTTCCCTGCCCCTTAACTTATAAACAGTTACCCCCATCAACAGAACATTGATGAACACAATTACACCAACCGGGATTCCAAACGCCACGAATCTCGCTATCGGCGCGTTTAAAAAACAGACATGAGTGCCTCCGTAACCAATGTTACTTCTTGTCGTCAAATTGGCCGCGATATTTGCTCCGACGATAACCGAAGGTCCCAAAAATGTGTACAGCGTGGCCATAAGGGTTGGTTTCTTGGACATGAAGAACACACGGGACGACAAGGGAAAGCACAGCTTGTAGAATCTTTCCAGCGTGCATGCGTTCATCGCAAACAAAGCAGCGAGCCACGAGAAATGTATGACAATGCCGAATAGGGCACACGTGCGCGGGGACTCGTACTGCTCCAAGGCGAACTCATAGAAAGTCTGAGCTATTATAAGACACACAATTAAAGTCATCATGTTTTTGCCGCCCCCCGCGCGCAGTGGCTCAAATAGCGTGTAGGTGATCAAGGTCAGAAGAAGACACGTGAGAGAGACGCACGTGCTGATCACGGACACTAACCCGGAGATGGTCCATGTATCTGTGGTGCCGCTCTGCACACTGCATGTTATATGGTCCTTGGTCGTTTGCGTCAAATTCAAGTAATCTTCCACGCAGATACGAATCAGAGATGCGTTGTAGAAATGCAGTTTTGATGACCAAACTTTGTTTCCATTGGGTATAAATTCATAATAGTCCCCAAAATCTCTGAAATTGGATGAGTCAACTTCCATGAAACTGCACTTGTTTATTTCAGAAAATTCAATGTAATGAACTCTTTGAGCATCCGCATTGCCAAGTATCAAAACACGTGGAACGATAGTTGGGTATAAAACGGATTGATTTCTTGGGCAAGGCAGTGGTTGAAGCGTGTCTGGCCTGCACTGGTCGATGAATTTAAACTTTGAGCTTATCGCCCTGTCCTGGAAGCTTTGTTCCACAGTGCGCACAAGAACCGGAAGCAGTTGATGAATGTCTTGTTCCAGATCTTCTAAAGTGCCCTCCCTTGTGACATACATTTCCCAGCCGATGGCAATCTTCGTATCGTTCGGACACCACTTTGAAATGTGCAGCGAGTGTCTTGTCATTGACGGTAAGTCCATAAGCATTGTGTAAACGATGAACTGGTCAAACGAGCGACCCGACATTGGTCTGGACATTATTACTTCGACCATCACGCATGCGTGGTAGCCCAAGATGTTGGAGTAGACGATACTCTGACACGATCCATTGGTGGAGAGAGTTTTGCCTTCAGCACATAGCGGCCTGTGACATTGACACTAATTATATGGATAGAGTGATATACAGTTAGAGAGATATATGGACAGAGAGAGATATGGATAGAGTGATATATTGACAGAGAGGTATATGGTTAGAGAGATATATTGACACAGAGATATATATGGATAAAGAGATATATTAGAGAGATATTTGGATAGAGTGATATATGCAGTGATATATGGATAGAGAGATATATAGTTAGAGAAATGTATAGTTAATAGAGATATGGTTAGAGAGATATATGGATAGAGAGATGTATGGATAGAGAGATATATGATTAGAGAGATATATTGATATAGAGATATAATGACAGAGAGATATGTGGATAGAGATGAGGATAGAGAGATAAATGGATAGAGTGAAATATGGTTAGAGAGATATGTTGACAATCAGCTATATGGATAGAGTGATATATGGTTAGAGAGATATATTAAGAGAGAGATATAGCGAGAAGATATACACGTTATATTTTTAAAACAAAACCGCATTGTCTAAAAATTAAAATGGTGAAATCATCAATGTATTAAATTAATTTAATTTTATTTTTTTTTTTGTATCCGATTTTTCACTTCTTTAAAATGTATCGTTTATGGTTACCGGAAATTTGATCGAAATAAATGGCGTCGGCGGTAAATTGATCGACGGAAATTTGATCGAACGGAAATTTTGTCGAATCTTTTTTTCAGTCACGCGTTAAAATTTTCGTCAAATTTCTTGTTGAACGCACTGTACTATATATTAAAACAAAATAATGCGTTCAAAAAGAAATTTGAAGCAAAATTTAAACGTAAAAACTGACGAAATTTCTTTCCGTCAAATTTCCGGATACGATCGTTTATGGTAAAAATGAACTTTCAAATTTAAAAAGAAAACATAAATTTGAATTAAGATAAAGTTATGCAATCATAAAATGAGGTCATAAATCCTAGGCAAATCATACATTACAAAACAAACACCACTTTTCCTGCGTCCGACTTACCGTGACGTCATCATAAATTTCAAGAGTTGAACATCTCCCTTTCGGATCATCCTCCACGCCGACAGTCTCCTTATACGCTGTCACAGACAACTCTTCCGTCGTTCCAGGCGACGCCTCGTCAAAATTCATCAGAGCGGCGTAACTAAGACGAGCGACATTGACCTCGGGGCCCTCTTGAACCAACATGTATAATTTAATCTTTTGGTCGATCAGATACTCCGAGTTACAGATGAAGCAGAACATGTTCCTATACTTGAACAGAAAAACCGACGTATACAGCGAACACGCACGCTCCACGTGCTCATCAAAGTGTTGCCACTGGCCGGAGACATTACAGGCACCAATGACGTCAGGCTCGGAGAAGTGGCACGCTCTGGAGTGGGTCACGGCTTTTGGGATGAACGACAGCTGGCAGCCCGTTTCATCTGAGCCTTCCCGCGTCATGAGGCGTTTGAAAATCTTCAATTTAGAGAGGGGGCCATTCAGCAGCTTTGAGGACGTTTCGAGGCAATCAATGGACAGGTCCCATCTGGTGACGTTTGTGCTGTCTCTGTGACACTGGGCGCAGTAAATGTTCCTGTTGATAAGATGACAAAGTAAACATTAAGTCTACCTTGGATGGCAACCCAATTATGAGAAGGATACTCTGAATTCAAACTCGGAGACGGAGTTCCGTATGCGGATGACATTGGTGCAATGAAACATCACGTAAACTCCTGCGACGCCATTGATGCTAAGCTGTAGCATCCAGATGATCTTCCCTTGGGCTTATCCAGATGCTTGGAGAGAGGCGATTTGTTGTTGGGAACCAGCTTATAATCCTAAAAGAATAATCCCAGGCTTTGTGGAAATCCTCCTGCCAAGTCCACACCAGCGTCACATTGTGACGGACGGGTGCCAGCACACAAAAAAACTATCTATGTCAGCCTATTGTCCATGCTTTCCCCTAACCTTTTTCTAATTTCTTTTTTTTTTCGTTCCCCGTTATTATGACACCTACTTATACAAAACACTGAGTGAAATCTTTTCTTAGCGTTTCTTGCGTCAAGGTGACCATTTTGCTTTAAAAAATTATGTTTGCTTCAATAAGTTATTAAAAGTTGATGAAATATATGTTTAGTTTCCACTTTTCTCATATGATTGTCTTCATTTTAACATAAGATATGATTATTTTATTGATGCAAATGAGTGGAAATCTTTTTAGAATACAATGTAATTATTGAGTTTTCATTTCCAGCACACACACTAAAATCTTCTTTAAAAAGACAAAAATATTTAAACCAGAACAATTAAACACAAGACATCTAAACACAAGACATCTAAACACAAGACATCTAACCACAAGATATCTAAACACAAAACATCTAAACACAAGACATCTAAACACAAGACATCTAAACACAAGACATCTAACCACAAGATATCAAAACACAAAACATCTAAACACAAGACATCTAAACACAAGACATCTAAACACAAGAAATCTAAACATAAGACATCTAAACACAAGAACTCTAAAGACCAGCCATCTAAACACAAGACATCTAAACACCAGACATCTAAACACAAGAATCTTAACACAAGACATCTAAACACAAGACATCTAAACACCAGACATCTAAACACAAGAATCTAAACACAAGACATCTAACCACAAGACATCTAAACACAAGACATCTAAAGTAATTTTCAAAGCACAAAAAATGATCCGTCATATGCCATGGAGCTTAGCTCAATTAGTGACACTATTGACTTTAAGAGTGACAATATTGACTTTAAGAATGACAATGTTGACTTTAAGAATGACAATATTTACTTTAAGATTGACAATATTGACTTTAACAATCACAATATTGACTTTAAGAATGACAATGTTGACTTTAAGAATGACAATATTGACTTTAAGAGTGACAATATTGACTTTAACAATCACAATATTGACTTTAAGAGTGACAATATTGACTTTAAGAATGACAATGTTGACTTTAAAAGTGACAATATTGACTTTAAGAGTACAATATTGACTTTAACAGTGACAATATTGACTTTAAGAGTGACAATATTGACTTTAAGAATCACAATATTGACTTTAAGAGTGACACTATTGACTTTAACAGTGTGTTATAACTGAAATTCTCACTGTTAATTGACTTTAAGAATCACAATATTGACTTTAAGAGTGACACTATTGACTTTAACAGTGACAATATTGACTTTAAGAGTGACAATATTGACTTTTAAGAGTGACAATATTGACTTTAAGAGTGACACTATTGACTTTAAGAGTGACAATATTGACTTTAACAATCACAATATTGACTTTAAGAGTGAAAATATTGACTTTAAGAATGACAATATTGACTTTAAGAGTGACACTATTGACTTTAACAGTGACAATATTGACTTTAAGAGTGACAATATTGACTTTAAGAGTACAATATTGACTTTAACAATCACAATATTGACTTTAAGAGTGACAATATTGACTTTTAAGAGTGACAATATTGACTTTCAGAGTGACACTATTGACTTTAAGAGTGACAATATTGACTTTAACAATCACAATATTGACTTTAAGAGTGACACTATTGACTTTAACAGTGACAATATTGACTTTAAGAGTGACAATATTGACTTTTAAGAGTGACAATATTGACTTTAAGAGTGACACTATTGACTTTAAGAGTGACAATATTGACTTTAAGAATGACAATGTTGACTTTAAGAGTGACAATATTGACTTTAAGAGTACAATATTGACTTTAACAGTGACAATATTGACTTTAAGAGTGACAATATTGACTTTAAGAATCACAATATTGACTTTAAGAGTGACACTATTGACTTTAACAGTGACAATATTGACTTTAAGAGTGACAATATTGACTTTAAGAATCACAATATTGACTTTAAGAGTGACACTATTGACTTTAACAGTGACAATATTGACTTTAAGAGTGACAATATTGACTTTAAGAATCACAATATTGACTTTAAGAGTGACACTATTGACTTTAACAGTGACAATATTGACTTTAAGAGTGACAATATTGACTTTAAGAGTACAATATTGACTTTAACAATCACAATATTGACTTTAAGAGTGACAACATTGACTTTTAAGAGTGACAATATTGACTTTAAGAGTGAAACTATTGACTTTAAGAGTGACACTATTGACTTTAACAGTGACAATATTGACTTTAAGAGTGACAATATTGACTTTAAGAATGACAATGTTGACTTTAAGAATGACAATATTGACTTTAAGAGTGACAATATTGACTTTAAGAATCACAATATTGACTTTAAGAGTGACAATATTGACTTTAAGAATGACAATGTTGACTTTAAGAGTGACAATATTGACTTTAAGAGTACAATATTGACTTTAACAGTGACAATATTGACTTTAAGAGTGACAATATTGACTTTAAGAATCACAATATTGACTTTAAGAATGACAATATTGACTTTAACAGTGACAATATTGACTTTAAGAGTGACAATATTGACTTTAAGAATCACAATATTGACTTTAAGAGTGACACTATTGACTTTAAGAGTGACAATATTGACTTTAAGAGTGACAATATTGACTTTAAGAATGACAATATTGACTTTAAGAGTGACAATATTGACTTTAAGAATGACAATATTGACTTTAAGAGTGACAATATTGACTTTAAGAATGACAATATTGACTTTAAGAGTGACAATATTGACTTTAAGAATGACAATATTGACTTTAAGAGTGACAATATTGACTTTAAGAATGACAATATTGACTTTAAGAGTGACAATATTGACTTTAAGAATGACAATATTGACTTTAAGAGTGACAATATTGACTTTAAGAATGACAATATTGACTTTAAGAGTGACAATATTGACTTTAAGAATGACAATATTGACTTTAAGAGTGACAATATTGACTTTAAGAATGACAATATTGACTTTAAGAGTGACAATATTGACTTTAAGAATGACAATATTGACTTTAAGAGTGACAATATTGACTTTAAGAATGACAATATTGACTTTAAGAGTGACAATATTGACTTTAAGAATGACAATATTGACTTTAAGAGTGACAATATTGACTTTAAGAATGACAATATTGACTTTAAGAGTGACAATATTGACTTTAAGAATGACAATATTGACTTTAAGAGTGACAATATTGACTTTAAGAATGACAATATTGACTTTAAGAGTGACAATATTGACTTTAAGAATGACAATATTGACTTTAAGAGTGACAATATTGACTTTAAGAATGACAATATTGACTTTAAGAGTGACAATATTGACTTTAAGAATGACAATATTGACTTTAAGAGTGACAATATTGACTTTAAGAATGACAATATTGACTTTAAGAGTGACAATATTGACTTTAAGAATGACAATATTGACTTTAAGAGTGACAATATTGACTTTAAGAATGACAATATTGACTTTAAGAGTGACAATATTGACTTTAAGAATGACAATATTGACTTTAAGAGTGACAATATTGACTTTAAGAATCACAATATTGACTTTAAGAGTGACACTATTGACTTTAACAGTGACAATATTGACTTTAAGAGTGACAATATTGACTTTAAGAATCACAATATTGACTTTAAGAGTGACACTATTGACTTTAACAGTGACAATATTGACTTTAAGAGTGACAATATTGACTTTAAGAATGACAATATTGACTTTAAGAGTGACACTATTGACTTTAACAGTGACAATATTGACTTTAAGAGTGACAATATTGACTTTAAGAGTACAATATTGACTTTAACAATCACAATATTGACTTTAAGAGTGACAATATTGACTTTTAAGAGTGACAATATTGACTTTAAGAGTGACAATATTGACTTTAACAATCACAATATTGACTTTAAGAGTGACAATATTGACTTTAAGAATGACAATGTTGACTTTAAGAATGACAATGTTGACTTTAAGAATGACAATATTGACTTTAAGAGTGACAATATTGACTTTAACAATCACAATATTGACTTTAAGAGTGACAATATTGACTTTAAGAATGACAATGTTGACTTTAAGAGTGACAATATTGACTTTAAGAGTACAATATTGACTTTAGCAGTGACAATATTGACTTTAAGAGTGACAATATTGACTTTAAGAATCACAATATTGACTTTAAGAGTGACACTATTGACTTTAACAGTGACAATATTGACTTTAAGAGTGACAATATTGACTTTAAGAATCACAATATTGACTTTAAGAGTGACACTATTGACTTTAACAGTGACAATATTGACTTTAAGAGTGACAATATTGACTTTAAGAATCACAATATTGACTTTAAGAGTGACACTATTGACTTTAACAGTGACAATATTGACTTTAAGAGTGACAATATTGACTTTAAGAATCACAATATTGACTTTAAGAGTGACACTATTGACTTTAACAGTGACAATATTGACTTTAAGAGTGACAATATTGACTTTAAGAATCACAATATTGACTTTAAGAGTGACACTATTGACTTTAACAGTGACAATATTGACTTTAAGAGTGACAATATTGACTTTAAGAATCACAATATTGACTTTAAGAGTGACACTATTGACTTTAACAGTGACAATATTGACTTTAAGAGTGACAATATTGACTTTAAGAATCACAATATTGACTTTAAGAGTGACACTATTGACTTTAACAGTGACAATATTGACTTTAAGAGTGACAATATTGACTTTAAGAATCACAATATTGACTTTAAGAGTGACACTATTGACTTTAACAGTGACAATATTGACTTTAAGAGTGACAATATTGACTTTAAGAATCACAATATTGACTTTAAGAGTGACACTATTGACTTTAACAGTGACAATATTGACTTTAAGAGTGACAATATTGACTTTAAGAATCACAATATTGACTTTAAGAGTGACACTATTGACTTTAACAGTGACAATATTGACTTTAAGAGTGACAATATTGACTTTAAGAATCACAATATTGACTTTAAGAGTGACACTATTGACTTTAACAGTGACAATATTGACTTTAAGAGTGACAATATTGACTTTAAGAATCACAATATTGACTTTAAGAGTGACACTATTGACTTTAACAGTGACAATATTGACTTTAAGAGTGACAATATTGACTTTAAGAATCACAATATTGACTTTAAGAGTGACACTATTGACTTTAACAGTGACAATATTGACTTTAAGAGTGACAATATTGACTTTAAGAATCACAATATTGACTTTAAGAGTGACACTATTGACTTTAACAGTGACAATATTGACTTTAAGAGTGACAATATTGACTTTAACAGTCACAATATTGACTTTAAGAGTGACAATATTGACTTTAAGAATGACAATGTAGACTTTAAGAGTGACAATATTGACTTTAAGAGTACAATATTGACTTTAGCAGTGACAATATTGACTTTAAGAGTGACAATATTGACTTTAAGAATCACAATATTGACTTTAAGAGTGACACTATTGACTTTAACAGTGACAATATTGACTTTAAGAGGGACAATATTGACTTTAAGAATCACAATATTGACTTTAAGAGTGACACTATTGACTTTAACAGTGACAATATTGACTTTAAGAGTGACAATATTGACTTTAAGAATCACAATATTGACTTTAAGAGTGACACTATTGACTTTAACAGTGACAATATTGACTTTAAGAGTGACAATATTGACTTTAAGAGTACAATATTGACTTTAACAAACACAATATTGACTTTAAGAGTGACAATATTGACTTTAAGAATCACAATATTGACTTTAAGAGTGACACTATTGACTTTAACAGTGACAATATTGACTTTAAGAGTGACAATATTGACTTTAAGAGTGACAATATTGACTTTAAGAGTGACACTATTGACTTTAACAGTGACAATATTGACTTTAAGAGTGACAATATTGACTTTAAGAGTACAATATTGACTTTAACAATCACAATATTGACTTTAAGAGTGACAATATTGACTTTAAGAATCACAATATTGACTTTAAGAGTGACACTATTGACTTTAACAGTGACAATATTGACTTTAACAGTGACAATATTGACTTTAAGAGTGACAATATTGACTTTAAGAATGACAATATTGCCTTTTTGTGTGACTTTATGACTTTGTACACGCTAGCAATGAAAATTTTAAATGTACAAAAAATAATAATAATAAATAATCCTTCTTTTTGGATTAAAAAAAAATAATAATCTTAACCGTGCTACCTAAGATTATTATAGCTCTCTAGGTAGCTCTCTATGTAGCTCTCTATGTAGCTCTCTATGTAGCTCTCTATGTAGCTCTCTATGTAGCTCTCTAGGTAGCTCTCTATGTAGCTCTCTAGGTAGCTCTCTAGGTCATTCTTAAGGTACATGAGGATTTAGGGGGTGGGGGATGAGGGTCGAGTCATATCTTGTGGTAAGAGATGGGAAACTAATGTCGCCAACTCACCACAAAAAAGACATCCACTAGATTCATTTTACATACTTGAAAAGTTAATTTTCAAAAAGGGGTATGGGCTAAGATTAACTTTCATCAAATGAAAACATATTTTTGTTTTTACTTCGCGACAAGTAAAGTGGTTGTATCTTGTGATGAGATTTATGACATTGCTGCAAAAGACACTCAGTGCTGTTACAGGCGTGAAAAATGGTTCAGAGAATCTTCTTTAGATCAAAGAATTCTTTGTTTTAGGATTCTCAGATAATATAGTAGAAAACAAAGGCAAAAGTTTGGTTAAATATTTGATGAAGATAACAGTAAATCAAATTCCGTAAATACAAAATTTATTTGAAATGGTATTTAGAGTTTTTGTTATAACTTTTAGATTACGTTTTTCACAATTTTTAGAGATTTTTTTTTTAATTTAGGAGCACGAAAAGATGTAGGGTAGGTCCAACATTTAACAATTTAAAAACATATGAAATCTAAAGTATTTCTCTAGCGTTGAAATCAGCCGTCAATGAATACCTTTCGTGACAATAATGATTTAATTAGTGAATTGTAGTTGAGGTAGGCGAAAATGGAGAGGATAGGCGAATAATGAATAGCAGGAAAATACTTCTTCAAACTTTTAACGATGTTAGAGACGTAAACATCGTGACATAGATACTCCTTTTTAAAATAAAGAATTGTGATGAGTTTTCGCAATAGCAAGTAGAAATTATAGCAGAATGCCTGATATCATTATCTCGATAACACCGGGTAATATTTTCTAGTATTTTAGAAGAGACGACGTGTTTATTTTTCTTATTATTATTATTACAATTGGTTTTATATAGCGTGGTACCCCATCCTAGGGCTGGGCTCACAACGCTTTACATACAATTTAACATAGCGTGGTACCCCATCCTAGTGCTGGGCTCACAACGCTTTATATACAATTTAACGAACATAATCAAAAACTCAAAAAAATAATTAACATACATTAATTAAATAAAACAAATGTATATTTAAAACTATGTACATGTCAAGACATGGACGACACCCAGCAGCATCGTTTTTTAGTTAAGAGTTGGAAATCAGTCAGGATAGTAGAGATTAAAGAGATGTGTTTTGAGGGCAGTTTTGAAGGCTGTGATGGTCGGTATATTGCAGATGTGCAATGGAAGAGAATTCCATTGTTTTTTTAATTTAAAAAAAAAAAAAACTTTTAAAATTTCTTCACCGACATTTAATTTCAATTATTTGAACATTTATTTTCCGAATGCTTTAGTTCTCTTTGCAATACAATTTTTGTTTTAATGAATTTATTTTTTTTTATTTTTTTTTAATGTATTTTTAAATTTTTAGACTTACCTAAAAATAGTTCGAGAGTGCATCCAACAAAAGTTGGGAACCACTGTCTTTAAGTTTGATTTATCCTGATTTATTTATTATCTAATTTATGTACAGTAAACTTTGCGAAGCGAAGAGAGGACGAACGTATCTTTCATTTTGGAATGTTAACAATGGTTTCAAATTACTTGTGTTTTAATACTTTAATGTTGCTATTAACTTGATAAAGGAAAAACAAAGATCTGATCCGCCAAAAGTTTAAAGGTTTATGATTTATTTCCGAAACAATAATTTGGTTATAATCTCTCTAAGCACAAACTGTTAGATGTAGCATACCTGTAGGTGATGCCACTGTCCAGGGACGAGACCGGTAAAGACTGCTTGGGGTCAGTGACATCGGGATGCTGACATTTGTCCGAGACCTCACGGGAATACACGGACGGGATGTCATCGTCCATTAATGGAACACCTACATACCCGAATCTTTTACCACTGCACTTGACCACAACGTTGGTGCGAACATCAGAATCTGGCCTGACATAATGGAGCCAAGTCATGGTATCGTTAAATTGGTGCTGTGTTTAAACATCAGCTCAAGGCTACTTGGACAAAAGGAACATGTTCATTTAAACATCAAAATCAACTCAAGGCTACTTAGGTTAAAGCCACTTGTTCATTTAAACATCAGCATCAAAGCAAGGCTACTTGGACAAAAGCCACATATTCATTTAAACATTAACAACAACTCAAGGATACTTGGAAAAAGCCATAAGCTCATTTAAACATCAGCATAAACTTAATACTATATGGACAAAATCCACATGTTCATTTAAACTTTAACATCACCTCAAGGCTAATTGGACAAAAGCAACTTGTTCATTTGAACATCAACATCAAGGCTAGGCTACTTGGACAAAAGCCACATATTCATTTAAACATTAACATCAACTCAAGGCTAATTGGACAAAAGCCACTTGTTCATTTAAACATCAACTCAAGGCTCCTTGGACAAAAGCCACATGTACATTTAAACATTAACATCAACTCAAGGCTCCTTGGACAAAAGCCACATGTTCATTTAAACATTAACATCAACTCAAGACTACTTGGACAAATGCTACTTGTTTATTTAAAGCCCAAGGTTCCTAAAGAAATAAAAACTTTCTGACGAATTTCGGATTTAGAATTTTAGTATTAGAGCAAAATTTGACAAGCAAAGAGGGGACAGAATTATTGAAATTATTGAAATTGACAACACCCCCTGACCCCCGCTAAACTCTGCCATCTCAAACCTTATTTTTCACTTCCTCATTCGTCCTTAACTCACTTCTTTTTGGGCCAACGAACTCACCCCACTGTGACCTTTTACCCACCTTCATAAGTCAGTATGGGGAGGTGGATCGTACGAAGTGAATGGACAACATTGGGATGATTGGCTGATATTTTTTGACATTTAATTGATTCCAAATTGTCTTACGTAAAAAGTGTCCTTATTTTAATTTCAAACTTAAGAATGTGTGAAGTAATTTTTCTTTTAAATATAAAAAATTCCAATCCCTATTGGCTGCTTTCTTACTGTGCTACCACAAACTGTTCCAACCCTTTTTACTTAACACTCTTATGCTCAGCACACACCATCAAATTTGCTTCGAATTTCTATTTTGAAGGCACTATGCTGTAACTCAAAATAATTCGTTCAAAAAGAACTTTGACGCAAATTTGCCGAGCAGATAGATCATTGGTATTCTCAAGTGTATTTAATTGGTAGATTAATGACTCGTTGTACGAACAATACTTAACAAGGGGATTGAAAACCGGTATGCGAAGCATAAACGACACCAAAGCTAGTGAAATTAACAGTGATCAATTTAATGAGACTATTGAGTTGATATGAAAAATACAAGATCAAATACAGGTAAATAAAAACCATGTTAACTGACAGCTCAGCGCGTGAAAAAGTTTAACACTAGAAGGGTACAGGTATAAATCCACACACACACAGTGAAAAATCTAGAAAGCGCCATAGCGCTTCTGTAAGTCTCATAAATCTGACGGTCATAGTCGACCGTCGTATTTGGGGGTCAGAAGCCTCCAGAACAGAAATTCAATCGCAAGAGAGTATTTTCTCCCTCTGTGTAGACCCTTCTGGAATCGAAAATCAATCAACGGCGGTCGGAGGGGGGGGGGAGAGAATTGGCACCACGTGTCACCAAGTTAATTGGTGACGTCAATAACAAAACCAAAAAGGGATGTAAGGCTTGCCTGCCACGGCTCGACACCACGCAGGATAACAAAAACTAGGTCAACACACACGCTATAACAGTCTGCTAAACTAAAAATAACCCTCATTTTGCCATGAAAATCAACTATCTGACAAGTACACTGCTAGCATAATCTTTTGTTTGTTATTTGGCCTTTTGTGGGTCCGCTTTTTGTAACTATCATTTTTGTCTAAATTTGGGACATATATGTCAGCCTCGTTGTCCCCTGGGACATATATGTCAGCTTCGTTGTCCCCTGGGACATGTATGTCAGCCTCGTTGTCCCCTGGGACATGTATGTCAGCCTCGTTGTCCCCTGGGACATGTATGTCAGCCTCGTTGTCCCCTGGGACATGTATGTCAGCCTCGTTGTCCCCTGGGACATGTATGTCAGCCTCGTTGTCACCTGGAACATGTATGTCAGCCTCGTTGTCCCCCCTCTTTCTATTCACCGTACAAATGTCTAATATCTACACATAACTCTCAGAGGTCTCAGTCATCTTCCCTTTTTTTTTTGCTAATGTTTTAACATGTAACTGTCATTTTCTTTCTTAAAATTATTTTACCCAAGAACTAGAGGTTTGAAATGTTTATGTAATAACTTATTATTTTTATTTTATTAATCAATATTAAACATGTATATAATTTTTCCCAAACCTTTCCTCATCCACAGGCTTATCCACAGGCTTGACACTCATACAACTTGTAACGCTTTGATTGTAGGTCACTCCGTGTGTCAGCAACACCTCTGGACAGCAGTCCTTGTAAACATTACACAGTCGATCACAGTAGCACACCGCACATTTCAACGGTCCTCTTTTGGGATAACCTGATCTGCAGGTTGAAGAGCAGACCTGATCGGAAGAGACCACGAAGGCAAATACCATAATGTGATTGTCCACCAATAACGCACAAACTAAAATAAAAAATATCTTTTTTAAAAAAAATCTTGTTCAATCCACGCCTGATAAAACAGTATCATGTCGTGCGCAATCACATGTGTGAAAAAGAAAATCGAATTCTCGTTTCAAAATTCCATCTCCTCAGCAATGTTGAAAGAACTTCCTTGAGTTTTTGTATGTTGAAGTATGTTGATGATTTCTATACCAATCCGATAATTCCTTTCATTTTAAATACATTAGACGAAATAAAATTGCAAATTGACCTAAAATTGTTAAGTATCGTACCTGCCAAGAGATTATGTAAGGAAAGCTTCAAAGTCTCACGTGACCAAGAGCTCATATAATCTCCAACGAAAAGGGTGGGATACTCACCGGTAGTGTACATATTCCACTTTAAAATATTAAATGTAGATACATATTAAACAAACCATAGAAACTACGTTTTTCATATAAATCCTTTTAATATGTATTTTTGTTTGCATTCCTGTAATTATGCGTGACTATTCATCTATGTGATTGTGCGTGACTATTCATCTATGTGATTGTGCGTGACTATTCATCTATGTGATTGTGCATGAATATTCATGTATGTGATTGTGCGTGATTATTCATGTATGTGATTGTGCGTAAGTATTCATCTATGTAATTGTGCGTGACTATTCATCTATGTGATTGTGCGTCACTTCATCTATGTGATTGTGCGTGACTTCATCTATGTGATTGTGCGTGACTTCATCTAGATGATTGTGCGTGAGTTTATCTATGCGATTGTGCGTGACTTCATCTATGTGATTGTGCGTGACTTCATCTATGTGATTGTGCGTGACTATTCATGTATGTGATTGTGCGTGACTATTCATGTATGTGATTGTGCGTGACTATTCATGTATGTGATTGTGCGTGACTTCATCTATGTGATTGTGCGTGACTTCATCTATGTGATTGTGCGTGACTATTCATCTATGTGATGGTGCGTGACTATTCATGTATGTGATTGTGCGTGACTATTCATGTATGTGATTGTGCGTAAATATTCATCTATGTAATTGTGCGTGACTATTCATCTATGTGATTGTGCGTGACTATTCATTTATGTGATTGTGCGTGACTATTCATCTATGTGATTATGCGCGACTATTCATCTATGTGATTGTGCGTGACTATTCATGTATGTGATTGTGCGTAAGTATTCATCTATGTAATTGTGCGTGACTATTCATCTATGTGATTGTGCGTGACTATTCATGTATGTGATTGTGCGTGACTTCATCTATGTGATTGTGCGTGACTATTCATCTATGTGATTTTGCGTGACTTCATCTATGTGATTGTGCGTGACTATTCATCTATGTGATTGTGCGTGACTATTCATCTATGTGATTGTGCGTGACTATTAATGTATGTGATTGTGCGTGACTATTCATCTATGTGATTGTGCGTGACTATTCATCTATGTGATTGTGCATGACTATTCATCTATGTGATTGTGCGTGACTATTCATCTATGTAATTGTGTGTGACTATTTATCTATGTGATTGTGCGTGACTATTCATCTATGTGATTGTGCGTGACTATTCATCTATGTGATTGTGCGTGACTATTCATCTATGTGATTGTGCGTGACTATTCATGTATGTGATTGTGCGTGACTATTCATGCATGTGATTGTGCGTAAATATTCATCTATGTGATTGTGCGTGACTATTCATCTATGTGATGGTGCGTGACTATTCATCTATGTGATTGTGCGTGACTATTCATGTATGTGATTGTGCGTGACTATTCATGCATGTGATTGTGCGTAAATATTCATCTATGTGATGGTGCGTGACTATTCATCTATGTGATTGTGCGTGAATATTCATCTATGTGATTGTAGCCGCTGATGTTTAATATGGGAATGGTTTTATCAAATTTAGTGCATGTAAAACCATAATAGACAAAATAAATATTTATGTTCAAATACTTCACAAATACAAAGTATATGGCAACAGCTACACAATTAATCTCCACACCAAAACAAGCACCCATTGAACAATTTTTAAAGTTCATTCTTTTTCCCAGGAAAAACGAAGTTTTCGGGAGTTGGTGGTGGGGCTGAAAATTTGATCGAATGTGTTGTCATTGGCAACGAATCTTTGTGCCAAGTTTTAGTTCGATATGATGACGGTAAGTGGGTCAATTAGCCGTGCGAACATTTTGACACGAACACACAAACAAAAGCGAAGTTAATGTAACGGATTTGATTTTTTTTTTAAATAACAACATTTGAAAAGTAATGTTTGTTTTGTTTGTTGTCACTTTCACGAAACTGATTTCAATTTTTAAAATGTTATTTAATTTTAGATTTCAGATGGAAGAGGCTCATGGAAACATGGCAGGTGGGCTCAAGGAGACAGCCAATCTAATTAACGGTCACGTGTTATCAAATCTATTTGTTTCAGAGATAAAACCGTTGGGGTGTTAGTTTATTACTGATTTTGTAAAAAGGAGACGTACTAACACAATTCTGGAACTGGAAACACTCATGCAAAAATTACATTTTTACATAATTTTAGATAATACCCATTTAGGGAAATTGTAAATCATGTCATTAATCTGACAAAACAAGAACTTACCGATTCTTCAATGCGTAAAATGCCATCTACAAGCGTTAAGCCTTGTTCGAATGTCTCATCAAAAATAGACGGCGTTGTATCCAGTTCACGGACTTCAGCAGAAAATTTGTTGAAATGGACAATCAAATACACCGTGACATAAGTGAGCATTTGCAGCCGATATTGACACCTCGCCATATCAACTTTGTCACGTTTCAGTTACAACCACGCTGCTGTTCTTTTAAGAAAGCAATACAACGTCCTCGACATTAAAGAAAAAAATTCGACTCGAACTATTTCGATATCAGATAGTCCCGCAGCCATGACCGTTAGCTCACCGACCCGATGGGCCATCTCCGATGTCAGTGGCTCATAGTCTGATGACACTGTTGAGTACAACGCCCTCATTAGAGAGAGGTCGTCCGCGGCAGAACAAAATGTCGGCTATTGTATTATTCAAACAATGCGCACCACTCTCCGGTATCAGATGACCGCCCCTTGTTTCGATTTGCTGTCACCCTACAATCACCGTGACCACTGCATTCACTGTGGTGGACTCAGCCTGTAGAGACTTTCCTCCTTTCTTTCGACCACTTCATGCAGGCGGTGTCCTATAAAACTGCACTAGAAGGCTGACCTTAACTCCAGCTGGTTTACGAGTCAAGTGGTGTACTAGAAAACTGCACTAGAGCGATGTAGTTAACACTAAATTGTTTGTGGAAGGGGGGGGGGGGTGGTAATAGTTTTGACAACCGATGATAAAAATTTAGAATAACTCATTTATCGCACTTTTTACTTGTAAAAAAATTATATAGAGTAAAATCTAGAAAAAAATAAATGTTGACTTATCATGAAAAGTTCGGGGGAAAATTTGTTTGCGCCATTGAAACAAACAACTTTCTCAAAAGTTCTGACAATTAACATTGACTTTTAACTTTAGATAAATACCAAACTAAGGCCATCTTTTATTTCAATGAATGCTTCTACGCAGATCAAATACATTTACGTTTCAACTCTTCTATTGAATGTCCATAAATATCACTTTTTAATCATTTCAATTTTTATCAAGAGTGTTTTCGAATAATCACCAAAAACAGGGTGAGCTGTTTCTCTGGTGGTATTATACCATTTAAAAATTCCCCCGGTTTTTCAACTTTGAATGGTCCATAACTCTTGAGTCCATACTAGACTAGAGTAAAAAAAAAAAAGATAGAGTGTTCTTCCCATTTCCGATTGATTTAATCACGTGATTGCCCAGACAAACGATGCCGGGAGTTCCACAAGTATAATTGGAAGTATCGATACTTTCCGACAGAATAAAAAAAAAAAAACCAATAAATGAAAGCGATGGGGAAGATCCATGAATTATTGACACGGATAAATGGCCGCGCCGCGAAGAACGGTTATCACAAAACAATCTTGTTAGGCTTGTACCGAAACGAAACAAAGTTCGTTACTGATTTTTTAAATTGGATTTTTTTTTAATTGGGTATACTGGGTGCGGCTCAAAAAAGAATGAACGATTGAAAATACTGATCAAATCAGTTCGTTTCTATCTACGGTTCTAAATTTCTCTTCGGTGGGGCTCTGTACATGGTGTTCCTCGTAACCGGAATTTGTACGAAAGAAATTTGTATGACGTAAAAGTTGTTTGAAATAAAAGCTGTTAAACTGACATCTATTTATTTTGTTTTAATTTAAATTTATATATGTCTAAATATATATATGTAAATAAATATATATATGTACAAACACACATATTTAATTCAAGAGGAAGGGCGGGGGATAAATTTGGAAAATGTAAATTGTGTTACTATAATTTTTTTACAGTTGGTAATTATTTCATTTCTAACAAACTACCGTTCGAACAAATGTCCATGACAACGTTGCCATCGAAAATATAAGAGAAAATGTCCGGTAACCTGCAGTTCACGGGTCACCGTTGTCTAAGGGAAGACAACTTGACTTGATACATGGCTGAACTTTATAAACAGAATGATCAAAAAAGTTCAATGTAATTAACTAAGGATCAACTCGCTGGGAAATTTCTTACGCTGAGCAATTTTAATATTTTTTTTAAAATTCTACAAAGTCTTAAAGAAATTTGAAAGGGACGGCTCGCTGATCCACACCTTGTCACTCGTATTGCCATAATTGACTCATCAGACACACCTGGGCCTTGACTGATCAAACACACCTGGTCTTGATAGTTCAAACACACTAGGCCGTTTGGTGATTAGACACACCTGGTCCTTGAGTGACTAGACACTTGTTCCTTGATTGATCAGACAAACCTGGTCCTTGACTGATCACACACATCTGGTCTTTGATCGATAAGACACACCTGGTCCTTGATTGATAAGACACACCTGGTCTCTGACTCATCATACACACCTGGTCTTTGACTCATCAGACACACCTGGTCCTTGACTGATCTGAAACATTTGGTCATTGACTAATCAGACAAAACTGATCCTTGACTGATCATACACACCTGGTTCTTGACTGATTAGACACACCTGGTCCCTGACTCATCAGATGCACCTGTTCCTTGACTGATCAGACTCACCTGGTCCTTTACAGGTCAAACATTCTAGGTCATTGGTGATTAGACACATCTGGTCATTGACTGATCAGATACACCTGATCCTTGATTGATCAGACACACCTGGTCCTTGATCAGACACATATGGTCATTGACTCATCATACACACCTGGTCGTTGACAGGTCTAATACTCTAGGTCATTTGGTGATTGGACACACCTGGTCCTTGATTGATCAGACACACCTGATCACTGACTCATCATACACACCTGGTCCTTGACTCATAATACACACCTGGTCATTTCAGACACATTTGGTCATTGACTAATCAGACACACCTGGTCCCTGACTGATCAGACACATTCGGTCATTGACTGATCAGGCACAACTGGTCCTTGATTGACTAGACACACCTGGTCATTGACAGGTCAAACAACCCAGGTCATTTGGTGATCAGAAACACCCGGTCCTTGATTGGCTAGACACACCTGGTCACTGAAATGTAAGACACTCCTGTTCCTTTGGTGATCAGACACACGGTCATTGCCAGGTCAGACACGCCTCATCATTGACTGATCAGACACACATGGTCATTGACAGGACATATACGCCTCATCATTGACTGATCAGACACACCGGGTCATTGACAGGTCAGACATGCCTCACCATTGACTGAGCAGACACACCTGGTCATTGACAGGTCAGACACGCCTCATCATTGACTGATCAGACGCACCTGGTCATTGACAGGTCAGACACGCCTCATCACTGACTGATCAGACACACCTGGTCATTGACAGGTCCGACACGCCTCATCATTGACTGATCAGACACACCTGGTCATTGCCAGGTCAGACACGCCTCATCATTGACTGATCAGACACACCTGGTCATTGACAGGTCAGAAACGCCTCAACATTGACTGATCAAACACCATGTCACTCTATTTGCCTCGATGAGCAGACACACCCGGTCATTGACAGGTCAGACACGCCTCATCATTGACTGATCAGACACACCTGGTCATTGACAGGTCAGACACGCCTCATCACTGACTGATCAGACACACCTGGTCATTGACAGGTCCGACACGCCTCATCATTGACTGATCAGACGCACCTGGTCATTGCCAGGTCAGACACGCCTCATCATTGACTGATCAGACACACCTGGTCATTGACAGGTCAGAAACGCCTCAACATTGACTGATCAGACACCAGGTCACTCTATTTGCCTCGCGATTCAGTTTTCTGGAACGTACCAACCATAAATGGACACGTTTGTACCATGAAAACCAACAACTTTCTGACAAATCGTTTAGTGTTATTTGACCTTTGTATTGTCTTATCTTTGCCTCTGTGCAGCCAGTGTTAGTGCCATCAGGTCAAGAGAACCTAAATTTCAACTAGCATCTCTTCTGTTAGTCACCGATAGTGAAGTGTAGAATAATGAAAAAATAATTTCAAATGTGCGCTAAAATTCATCCCTGCATTTTGAGTTTATCAAATTTCTTCCGAGCCCCCACCCCCATTTCCATTGAGGGGGCTTTCAATGTCCTGGGCCCCACTCCCCGATAACAGTGACGGTGCTGACGCATTTTTATCTATACAAAAAGGAACTAAACGAAACAAAATATGGGGGAACATGAAAAAAAGGGACGCAACAAAAGAACGCGTTGTTATTGCAGTGTCCCTTTATTTAATGATCTCCCAGAATTTTTTTCGCTCATTTCCTTTCACCAAACCTGCTTGCAATCTCTCTCCCTTTGAACCATCTATACAAAAAGAAAAACAACACTGGATATTAATAATGAAATTGATTTGAGCCTTGGGCTAGGATCAAGGTAGTACCCAAGCCTTGGGCTAGGCTCACTGTAGTACCCAAGCCTAGGGCTAGGCTCACTGCGGTACCCAAGCCTTGGGCTAGGTTCACTGCGGTACCCAAGCCTTGGGCTAGGCTCACTGTAGTACCCAAGCCTAGGGCGAGGCTCACTGCAGTACCCAAGCCTAGGGCGAGGCTCACTGCGGTACCCAAGCCTAGGGCTAGGCTCACTGCAGTACCCAAGCCTAGGGCTAGGCTCACTGCAGTACCCAAGCCTAGGGCGAGGCTCACTGCGGTACCCAAGCCTAGGGCGAGGCTCACTGCGGTACCCAAGCCTAGGGCTAGGCTCACTGCGGTACCCAAGCCTAGGGCTAGACTCACTGCGCTTCACATACAAATTAGAAAGTCCAGAAAATTATATATTTAAAAACAGCAATTGGTAAAAAGCTTGACCTCACCCACCCAAGTACTCTCTACCCCTGCCTAGCCACGGACAGCACCCACCCAAGTACTCTCTACCCCTGCCTAGCCACGGACAGCACCCACCCAAGTACTCTCTACCCCTGCCTAGCCACGGACAGCACCCAGCAGAATCGAGCGTTGTTTATCAGTTAGAAGGGGGGTGAGAATGAGTCGATAGAGTAGAGTTTAAAGTTTTGAAAGCTATTATGGTCGGTATATTACGGATGTGTAATGGGAGAGAATTCCATTGTTTAGGGACACAAAAAGAGAAAGACCGTTCACCATTTATATAGTGCGTGTTCTGGGAACAGAAAGAATACGCGTGTCTGCGGGGCAACGAAGCTATCGAAGGGGGGATTAGACCAAAAGAAGTTCAGTTAGAAAGGAAGGGCAGGAACCAGGGATAAAAGCGGTGACAGTCTGGTCTATATATATAAAGTTGAACTACATAGATTCCAGATGCGAAAATAAGGTGGGGCGAAAAAGCATTGATTCAGGAGTCACCAAAAGTTGATTTAATTTGTGGATGAATGGTAGGGTCGCCCAAAACAAATTGGACCCCGTGGGACATTATTGCTAATTTTGGCGCTATACATGTCCATTCCCCCCTTCCAAAGTGCCTCAACCTTCCCCTTCTGCTCCAGCCCTACCTTAATTAATTGTCT